ATTAATCCCACATAATTTCCCCTTATAGTTTATCAATCCATCAAATCCATAACGGTATTCTATGTCAAGAAGCTTGAATTTCTCAGACCTAACATCAAAGCAAACTAAAACATAAGGCAATCCATTAGAACTTATAGCTAAGTAATACAAAACCCCATTGATGCAAATCCTATTCCACACAGGCTCATGGGTAAAAGGACATTGGATCTTCCTCCATTTCAATTTCCCAGTTCCCAGTGTCAAAATATAATGATCTACATCATTAGACGCTATATAATCACTAGTATTCATGAACAAAACCTTGAATTCCTTATCAATCGGATCAAACCCTAAATAGCTACACGAATGACCTGCTCTAAGTTCAGGTAAGATCACATACTGTCCAGTGAGAGGGTCACACAACACATGCTTTGGATCTACATCTTCCTTTGGGATGTGCATATTATGAAAATAGATCAAACCAGAGGCATAGCTACAACTGTATAGGCTTATCCCTGAAGAAAACTTGGTATGAAAATCGGCGGCAGCTACTACAAGAGACGAATTCTCGTAATGATTTTGAGGCTGAGGCAGCGAGAGAAAGCTCCACTCACCGTCTTGTTGGACACTAATTAAGAGACGTGGACGAGCTTTGGATCTTGTTAGAAACAATTCGGTGAAATCTTGACGGCGAATGATGGATCTCCATTGCTTTGACACGCAACGACACCTAGCTACTGATTTTGCTGGCAATCTAGAGAGTATCTCGATAATGAGATCAATCGGGATCCAATTCTTCATTCTTAGACCTAATTAGATGATGACATAAGAGGTCGTGGATTTGAACCATCCAAATTTATATTAACTTTATGGGCTTTTAGTGTTGATCGAAAATTTTTGTCCAAAAAAAAAAAAAAAAAAAAAAACTGTTGTTCTCTATTAGATAGTGAAAATCTTTCACATAAACTGTTCACACTTGTGTCATGATGATTGATGAACAGACACCAGCAAGAATCTCATGACTCATGAAGAAGCTAAAACAGCCCTATGAATGTGGTTCTTGAAAAGGTTTAGGGAAAACAAAATTAATGAAGCTAAGCAAAGTGTCCAATTCTTTTGCATCATGATTCGATATATGTGTGTTGTTTAGTTTAATTAAGTAAAGCATGAATCTTAGATTATTCGCACTCAAGAAGTGGCTAGTGGTAACAATTGCTCATCAAATCTCAACAAAAAATGGTTTCTTAATCTTCATGTTTCACTGATATATTTATTCACGTATTTATTTGACTTCATTGTTCAAACATATATAATTTATAGGGTAATGGTTTCTTTGAGCAAACTGAGGCAATGGTTTCCTCGTATGTAAAATCTCACTCTCTTGTCGTTACATTTAAATTTAATTAAACAAAATTCTTGGTTCAGTACTTTTACAAGGTAGGACGCACTTATATTGTGATGAATATATAGATACAAGAATGAAGCTCCTCAAGACAACTAAACTGCTTATTAGTTTTTTCAAGTAGGTTTAGAGAAACTGAAATCAACTAAACTGCAAATTTTGAATTTTTCAATTCTTTGGTATCAAGATAACGCAATGTAGGATCAGGGGGCGGATCTACATGGTGATGGGGTGGGGCACGTGCCCCACACTACTTGTTATAAATTATTGCATTGTTAGTTCTTATAACTTATTGGTAGATAAGTGTCTCATGCATCATCTTAGGTGAGGGGTTCGATACTCTTCTTTGAACTTTTTGGCTGATTTTTTTTTCCACAGCTCACACGTTCTCTTATTAATGAAACACCTACATGACTATCAGTTATTAAAAACAAAATTGAAAATTTTCTTTTATACTGTAAAGCATATTTACGTTTAAATTTAGAAGATATTGCAAAACTAGCGAATTAGTAAAACATTTATTTATTTGATCGAATATTTATAGAGTTTAAATTTATATGTTTAGATGTAGTATTTTATCTTTAATCTATATATAATAACAATTTCAATAAATGCATTTTGCATTTGTGAACGGTTGTATCTTTTAATCGCAACTTTTCGTTAATTTTTTATAAACTAAAATATATATTTTACGGTTATGTTTTTTTGTTTAGTTATATTCCGAATGTTTTCTACGGTTGTGTCTTTTTATTGTAATTTTTCATAAACAGTTGCAACCGCTTATTCGAATCATTGCAATATTTAGTTTATTTTACCAACAATTACAACATTTGGTTTATATATTTAGTTTATTTAACGAACAATGGCAACATTTGGTTAATTTTATAAATCGCTATAACATTTAATTATCTACATTTGCGTCTCTCTGTATAACTTTTCATAAATTATTATTTTTAATTTTTAATTATCAAAATGTATTTAAATGAGATTGTAATCGTTTAATTGAACTGTTGCAACATTTGGATTATTTGACAAATCATTGAAAATTTTAGTTTTGTTTTACAAACCGTTGTAATTTTTAGTTTATTTGACAAACTTGACGAACCTTGCAACTTTTGTTATATCGCAATATTTCGTTTATTTTTTAGAAAATAAAAGATGTATTTTACTTTATGATTTAGTTTTGAGTTTTTAATGATGAACAATTCTTGGGTTCACCCCTAGGGGTGAACCACTTTCATTCACCCCCTCTTAATTATCCAATTAGAATTTGCCATGTCATTTAGTTAAAAAAATTAAAACAATTATTTTCTAAATAAAACAATAAGATTAAGTCATAACCACTCTTTTATAAACCCAAACCGATATATAATCTCGTTTAATTACAAAATCTAAACCCTAATTTTCTTTTGTAAACCCAAACCGTCATTTAAATTCGTTTAATCGTAAAAAATCTAAACTCTAATCGTACTTTCTAAACCCAAACCGACACTTAACCTCGTTTAATTGTAAAATCTAAACCCGTTTATAAACCCAAACCGATAGTTAAACTCGTTTAATCATAAAAGCTAAACCCTAATTCTCTTTTGTAAACCCAAACCGTCATTTAAACTCGTTTAATCGTAAAAAATCTAAACCCTAATCGTACTTTCTAAACCCAAATCGAGACTTAACCTCGTTTAATTGTAAAATCTAAATCCGTTTATAAACCAAACCGATAGTTAAACTCGTTTAATCATAAAATCTAAACCCTAACCCTTTCTAATAAACTTAAACCGATACATAATTTCGTTTTAGTGGCAAATTAAATTTTATAATTAAATTTTATAATTAAATTTTTTTTTATTATTAATAGGTGGCAGATTTTGATTGGATGAAATAAAGGGGGTGAACATAAGAGGTTCACCCCTAGGGGTAAACCCAAGTATTTTTCTTTAATGATTTAGTTTAATTATTTTAGTTAGATAACATGGCAAATTATGATTGGTGATAAAGAGGGGGTGAATGAAATGGGTTCACCCCTAGGGTCAACCCAAGAATTGTTCTTATTTGATGCTTTTTGCACTTGGAAATAGTTTTTTAGTTACAAATTAATGTTTTTCTAATATTAATATACTTAATAAATAGGGATAAATATTTGTGAGGGTTTTTTTATCAAAATTTTCGTATAATATATATATTGATTTATTATTAAAAAGATAACCAAAATTGTTACAATTCATTATGATTTTTCCTTTGATATTTTTTTAAACGATTTTTGAAATATATTTCCCCGCGATATCGCGGGGGTCCTGAGTCCTAGTATATCTAATATACAATTAAATATATTTATAACCCAAATAAAATTTAAATTTAATATTAATAATAATAAGTGATTTGTGCCCCATACAAGTTTGCTCTCACAATTTAGGACATGCATGATAACCAGAAAATAAATAAAATAATAACAAATAGCTAAGACGACAGAGTGATAAAGCTCACACGTATGTAACCTGTAAACGACAAGTCACATAAACCCTAAACCCTAAATCCTAAATCCTTGCTCCCCCTCAAGTCAGCTGAAAAATCTTTCAATTTGATGCAAGTTGTGTTTTGTTCTAGTTTATATCATAGAGTATTAGAAATTTTGGCTGTGAGTGATTTTTCATCTACATGTCTAGTTGTGAGTTCTATCATTTTGGACCCCTAATTGTGTTGGAGGATACATGAAAGCAAAACTATAGTTGATCCCACATCAACTGTTTTTTCGTTAAAACTCATATTTTTTATCGTAATGATAACTAATGTTTAAGGTTCTTTTAAAACCTTTGTAGTTTTTGTGTGTTTAACTAACTACTACACAAGTTGGGATTTTAAATTCACCAGCAAATTAATGCAGCATCTGCATCTTCGTAATTGTTGTATGACATCTCCTGAACAAAGAAGAAGAAGCAAATTGAGACCTAAAGATAAATGAAACAAATAAAAACAGAGCAAACAGAAAACGTAAATGCATTATCTTGAAAGAATGCAGATTCATAGACTCTTTACTTAAGTGAGAGAGATCCCATACAACTATGAAATAATCAACAGTGATCAATAAAACTTGCTGTAACAACTTATTCTTCTCTACTCTGCTTCTTTGTTTCTTGCTGCATGGATTTACATTTAATTTGGACTCTGCTAAAGATAAAAGGTAACACTTTAATTAGCGACTGTGTATGTAAGAGTACAACTAATAGGCCACGCGTATCGGCCCATATAAACCAGCCACTACAAGTATTTGCCCTAAATGAATTTATCAAAACCTTGTTCCTCACTCTTCGTCCCTCCATCTTTCTTTCCTTTATCCTCTCTGGCGGCGTTTCAGATTCGACAATAAGCTAGGTACGTATATTATGATTGAACTGTGTCAATCTATCTCTCCGAATATTGAATTGATTTTGTTTAGGTCTAAAGAAGAAGAAGTCTTGAATGAATGATGATAGATTTTTTTTTCCATAGAATTAGAAACTTCCTTTTTTTTTTTTGGCCAATAGAAATTTCCTTTTTTTCGTTGAATATCTTTTATTTATTTTTACTTTTTGGGCAAACCTTTCGTTGAATATATATGTTCAGAAATTTATGTACTTGTATATTTCCATCGTGACGATTAACTTTGTGAAAGAATCCAATCCTGGGCGGCGGCGATTGAAGAAACCATAGTCGTGATGGATCTTGTAAGGCAAGAAATTCTGAAGAAACGGAAGATTCTTGCTGAGGCATCTGGTGGGAAGAAGTTTTACAAGCGATCGGAGATTGAGCAGAAGAAAATCCAGAAGCTTCGAGAGGAGGAACGACGCGAGAAGGAGGTTAAGTCCCAGCGCAGAGCCGAGGCCGCATCAGGTAAGGCTTCTTGCAAATCATCCGTCTCCAAAGCGGCAGCTATGGCTGATTCCAAAACCCTAACCGAAGAGAAGAACATCGAAAACCTCATAGTTCTCACGAAGCAGGAAGTGATTCGCCGCTTGAGATTCCTCAAGCAGCCGATGACTCTCTTCGGAGAAGATGATCAGGTGCGGCTCGATCGACTCAAGTATGTGTTGAAGGAAGGATTATTCGAGGAGGTGGATAGCGACATGACTCAAGGAGAGACGAACGATTTCTTGCGTGACATCGCTGAGCTCAAGAAGCGGCAGAAGAGTAGTGGTGTCATGAATGATAGGAAGAGGAAGACTAGAGATGAAACGAGTGATGATGATGAACTCAGTGGTGCTGATAAGGAGAATTTGAAGCGTTTGAAAGAAGCTAATTTCGAGGATTTATGCGACGAGGACAAGATTCTTGTGTTCTGCAAGAAGCTATTGCTTGAATGGAAGCAGGAACTTGATGCTATGGAAAACACTGAGAGGAGAACTGCTATAGGGAAACAGATGCTAGCCATTTTTAACCAGTGTGCTAGGTATCTAACTCCTCTCTTCCACTTATGCCGGAACAAGGTAAACAAAATCAATCTTATTTTCTTTTAGTTCCATATAGATGAAGAGAAATAGGCTGGAATGTTCCGTGCAAAGCAAGCAAATTTCTCTCTTTATGTCTTATTAGGGTTCCATACCTTATGTTTCTGTTATGGCTTACATTTACAAATTTTGCAGTGTTTACCAGCTGACATTCGTCAAGGTTTAGTGGTGATGGTTAACTGCTGGATAAAGCGAGACTACCTCGACGCAATGGCTCAATTCATCAAACTAGCCATAGGGAATGCACCATGGCCCATCGGTGTGACTATGGTCGGTATTCACGAACGTTCTGCCCGAGAGAAGATTTCTACCAGCAGTAGTGTTGCTCACATCATGAACAACGAAACCACTCGCAAGTATCTTCAGTCAGTTAAAAGATTGATGACTTTTTGTCAACGACGCTATCCAGCTATGCCTTCTAAATCCGTTGAGTTCAATAGCTTAGCCAACGGAAGTGATTTACAGTCGTTGCTCGCTGGAGAGAGATTCTTTGGTGCTGATCGCCAACGAGTCTCCGAGGATAGACTCCGGCTCATGCCTTCTCTCAACGAAAGCTAGCTAAGGTTACAGTTTTTTCCTTGCTGTGTTTTTCTTGTTTCAATTTTTCTAAGATAATGATTAAACCATGTATCTTCTTTGTAACTTGACCATAATATATTGATTACACGATCTTTCTGTTTTGGAGATTACATTAATCGTAGAGTTTATGCCTTTGTAAAGACTATGTAGAGGATCTTAGTTTTTTGCGATGCAATGCAACTCAATTCAAGCCCTTTACAACAAGGCCAAAATATCATTACAAGAGGCCGAAACCAAAACAACGGCGGCATACATCTCGTGACCTCTCCAAGTCTGCTCCGTCTGTGAAGAACAAGGAACAGAACAAAGTACGAATTCTTAGCTAACATGCTCTATCACTCTGTTGGCTTAGCTATTTTATTTTTTTGTTGCATTTTGTTTGTTTTCGTTATTTTTAGTTATATCATTCGGTTGGCCTAGCTATTTTTGTTACATATGGGGACATTAGATAAAGACGCCTAATCAGTAGTCTGATTATTCATTTGTTATGAATTATGATCACAATATATTTCCCTGAAAACATTTCTTGATTAATCGTGGGTACCTGATCATGGAAAAATTGAAAAAACTGATCCTTAAATACCGAAATTAAAGACAAGATTCATGGAGTTTTGAAGTAGGACAAGCTTTTGACATACCTTGCATTTGGATCATATTTGTACACCATAAAGGTGATATTCTCTATAATTATCCCTTTGTCCATAAGTCTTGAGCAAATGGTTCACATCCATTAACAAAGATATTTGTACACCATATTTGTCTTCACATTTCCCACTGAGGACTTTCCTTGGTACATACATGGGTCTAAATCGGTTGATTGGTGAAAGCTCATTGAGAAGCTTATTGAACGAATCAAGAGAACCTTGTAATGAAGTATAAACAGCTTTTTACGAGACTAGCGAGGACTTTCCTTGGAACATATGTGGGTCTATATTGGTTGATTGGTAGAGGCTCATTTGAGAAGCTTATTAAAACATTATGAGACTATTTAGAGAAGAACCTAAGGAAAAAAATTGAATATGACTGAGGTCTGAGAACATCACAAAATGATCTGGAGCATAATTTGGATCCACAGGTATAGTTTCAGAGGCTGCAAACAGCAAACACATGAGCTCTGCGACAATCCTTTATATGGAGTCAAAGCTGTAAGATTAACTGATTAAGACAGGAAAAAGTATATGAAACCTGAATCAAAACAAACAAGTCGACAAGGCTTCCCAACAAAGTTTGTAAACCATATATACCAGGAGCTCTAACTACTGAAAACGCAGCCAAAAGGTTAATGGCACAGACGCACAGTGACAAAAACAATTAGAGGAATGATCTGAGGATGTGAAGGAGTTGGAATATATATATATATATATATATATATATATATATATATATATATATGTGGCTTCAACTTCAGTGTCAGCTTTAATTCAACTCGAGATATATCCATAGAAATGTTTGTTTCAACACTCAAAAATTTACATTTTTATGTGAATTTATAGAATCAGTGATAGTTCTATATGAATCTGAATCATTATTAGGTTAAAAAGTGTTAGAGCCTAGTATATAATTTTATTATATGAATCTGAATCATTATTATGTGACTTGTCATTTACTGGTTATATAAACATACGAGGAAAGGAACTTGCTTTTGATCATGACAAATGTTATATTTCGATCAACAATATTGTTTTTGGACAAAAAGTTTCGATCAACACTAAAGCCCATAAAGTTAATATAAGCTTTGGATAGTTATAAGCCCATATTGGGCTTGAATAAGTTCAAATTCACCATCTATTTAAGTTCGAAAACTTTTAGGAAATTTGAGATTTCACATTCCCTCGCCGTCCGAACACCAAAATACGCCGGATAGAATGAAGAATTGGATCCCGATTGATCTAATCATCGAGATACTCTCAAGATTACCAGAAAAATCAATAGCAAGGTGTCGTTGCGTGTCGAAGGAATGGAGTTCCATCCTTGACCGTGAAGATTTTACCGAATTGTTTCTAACAAGATCTAAAGATCGTCCACGTCTCTTAATTGGTGTACAACAAGAAGGTGAGTGGAGCTTTCACTCAACGCCTCAGCCTCAGAACCATTACGAGAATTCGTCTCTTGTAGTAGCCGATTTTCATACCAAATTTTCTTCAGGGATAAGCCTATACAATTGTAGCTATGCCTCTGGTTTGATCTATTTTCATAATATGCGCATCCCAAAGGAAGATGAAGATGCAAAGCGTGTGTTATGTGACCCTCTCACAGGACAATATGTTATCTTACCTGAACTTAGAGGTCACTCGTATTCGTATAACTATTTAGGGTTTGATCCGATTGACAAGGAATTCAAGGTATTGTTCATGAATACTAGTGATTTTATGGCTTATAATTATACAGATCATCATATTTTGACACTAGGAAGTGGAGAATTGAAATGGAGGAAGATCCGATGTCCTTTTACCCATGAGCCTGTGTGGAATAGGATTTGCATCAATGGGGTTTTGTATTACTCAGCTATACATTCTGATGGAGGTTCTTATGTGATAGTTTGCTTTGATGTTAGTTCTGAGAAATTCAAGTTCATAGGCGCAAAACACTTCCATGATCAGTTGATTAACTATAAGGGAAAATTATGTGGGGTTAATGTGGAGCATGATAATGGTGGTGGATTTCCCGTTAAGTTGTGTATGTGGGTTCTAGAGGATGTCGAGAAACCGGAATGGTCGAAATATGTCTACACTTTGAGGGCTGATAATAAAGTCGTTAATGTTAACAATAATCTTTCTGTTTCTGGGATGACTGCTACCGGTGACATTGTTTTGTCGATGAATTATGCATCCAATCCGTGTTATGTTTTCTACTTCAATCCGGAAAGGAACACTCTCCAAGTCCAAAGTGTTGAAATCCAAGGTCTTGGAGCTAATCGTGATCGCATATCTTACTACGCCTTTCTAGACTCTGTAGAGGATCTTAGTGTTAACGATGCACTGCTGCCACTCAAGTCAAGCCCTTTACAACAAGGCAAAGATATAGTTACCAAGAGGCCAAAACCACGACAACTCCGCTATACATCTCGTGACCTCTCCAAGTCTGCTCCATCTGTGAAGAACGATGTAGAGGATCTTAGTGTTAACGATGAAGTGCTTCAACTCAAGTCAAGCCCTTTACAACAATGCCAAAATATCGCTACCAAGAAACCACGACAACTCTGCTATACATCTCACGACCTTCCAAGCCTGCTCCGTCTGTGAAGAACAATGTAGAGGATTTTAGTGTTAACGATGCAATGCTGCAACTCAAGTCAAGCCCTTTACAACAAGTACAATCTACGTGATGCCTTTGTAGAGACAATGTAGAGGATCTTAATTTTTGCGAATCAATGCAACTCAATTCAAGCCCTTTACAACAAGGCCAAAATATCGTTACCAAGAGGCCAAAACCACGACAACGCCGGCATACATCTCGTGACCTCTCCAAGTCTGCTCCGTCTGTGAAGAACAACCAACATAACAAGTACGAATTCTTAGCAAACATGCTCTATCACTCTGTTCGCTTAGCTATTTTATTTTTTGTTTTATTTTGTTTGTTTTTCGGGTTTTTTAGCTATATCATTCGGTTGGCTTAGCTATTTTGTAACATATGGGGACATTAGACCAAGACGCCTAATCAATAGTCTGATTATTCATTTGTTATGATTACAATATATTTCCCTGTGGTTTAAGATAAGAGATACATGGAGTTTTGATCGGACAAGCTTTTGATATACCTTGCAATGGGATCATATTTTTACACCGTAAAAGGTGATCTTGTCTATAATTTATCTTTCTGTCCATAAGTCTGGAGGAAATGCTTCACATCCATTAACAAAGATACTGCCATCACATTTCCCCGTGACAGAGTTTATGAATTGTTGTTTCAAAGCAATAATAGATTTTAAGAGACTAGCTAGGACTTTCCTTGGAACATACTTGGGTCTAAATTGGTTGATTGGTACAAGCTCCTTGAGAAGCTTATTCAACGAATCAAGAGAACCGAAGGAAATAAATTAAATATGACTGTCATTGTCTGAGAAAATCACAAAGTGACAAGAATGACAAAAATAGTGACGAGAATAATATGAGGATGTGAAGGAGTTGGAATCTATATCTATGGCTTCGACTTCAATGTCAGCTTGTAATTCAACTCCACAAACTATCCATAGAAATGTTTGTTTCAACTCTCAAAAATTTACGTTTTATGTGAATTTATAGATTCAGTGATAGTTTTATACGAATCTGAATCATAATTTGGTTAAAAAGTGTTAGTATAAGCCTATATAATTTTATTATATGAATATGAATCATATTATGTGACTTGTCGTTTACAGGTTACATACGTGTGAGCTCTATCACTCTGTTGTCTTAGCTATTTGTTACTCCCTCCGTATTTTAATAATTGTCGTTTTAGAAATTTTATTTTTTTGAATTGGATGTCGTTTTCAAATTTCTATGCAAAATTTATTACTTTTTAATGTTTTATGACATCATAAAACATTAAAAAGTAAGAAATTTTGCATTGAAATTTGAAAACGACATCTAATTCAAAAAAATAAAAATTCTAAAACGACAATTATTAAAATACGGAGGGAGTATTATTTTATTTATTTTCTGGTTATCATGCATGTCCTAATTGTGAGAGCAAACTATCCTACATTGAGTTATCTTGATACCAAAGAATTGAAAAATTCAAAATTTGCATCTTGTGATTTCTGTTTCTCTAAACCTACTTGAAAAAACTAATAAGTCAGTTTAATTAGTTGTCTTGAGGAGCTTCATTCTTGTATCTATATATTCATCACAATATAAGTGCGTCCTACCTTGTAAAAGTACTGAACCAAGAATTTTGTTTAATTAAATTTAAATGTAATACGACAAGAGAGTGAGATTTTACATACGAGGAAAGGAACTTGCTTTGATCATGACAAATATTATATTGATTTGCGTAAGTCTTTTGTATATCCAATAACTTGATCGTAAAGAAACCATTGCCTCAGTCTTTTGTATATCCAATAACTTCTTTAATTTTGTTTTCTCTAAACCTTTTCAAGAATCACATTCATAGG